ATTGACATTTTTGAAACACAATACTACGATTAATTTAAATTAAAATCTGATCTGAAATAGGTTCAGTCGCTATACAAACTAGTTTTAAGTTATATTTCCAATTAGTCTGACTCAAAAGTTATCTGTGCATGAATATTAAACAGGGCAAAGACCGTACGTCTCGCGTAGCAGAGACTTCGCGGATATCTCACGACAAAGTGTTCCGCTATGACGCGCCTAGCGCACATTTACCTTGGCCTGCAGCGCTGACACCCAAGTCGGGCAAAACGCAAAATCAGTCTTCGGTTCCAAATAGTCATTCAAGGACATTAGATTTGAGCAACATTCCACGTATGGTAAAGGCGACGTGATCAAGTAAATCTCTAAAATAATCGGTCGTCTTTAGCAAATTTGATTTTATTGTAGTTGAAAAAGAAAGATGTAGTTTGCTTTTTAATCTGAAGAGGAATGCACCGTTTTAGAGGGGTGGTTGCTATTTCATTTTTCGCATTGGGCCCTCCTTTAAGCATTATGGTTTTGCCGCTTTGTCACCTCCTAAACATCCAACGCCTTACCGGTTAGAAAAAAAAACGGATGAAATTTCCTGACAAACGCTCTGATAAAAAACAAAGATCGGAATTAATCTTGAGGTGTAAATGCCTCTCATGCCACAGAGGCACTAAAAGGTTCGCGCCCTGGAAAAGGCACTAAAATGCCCTAAAGGTCGAAGGTCAAAATTTAGCACCTTTAAAAAGGAACCTAGTCCTACTTTTATTTTTCCATTGAAGACAGCCAGGCAGTGCTCATCGTCGTAGGGATGTTAAATAGAGTTAAATGATGTCAAAATTCAATCAGGAGGAATTGAACATTGAAATGAGACAGCACTCGGAAACATACGGCGTATCGACGATGAGAAAAATACATATGCAAGTCTGTCAAAAATAGATCGCGTTCGTCTACGAATCGCTTTCCTGCAAAAGTGTGAATCTTCTCAAACATTTCAGACATTCCTACACTTTTGGTCCTAAACTTTTGAGAACATTTCTAGGTCCCGTCAACTCTTAACACTCAACACTTTACCCCACATTGTTCGTTACGATGTGGTAGCGTAGCCTGGCCGAGAGAGCCTCGAGGGAAGAATAACTTTGGCGGTCTAGCCGCCGCACCCACAACTCCACCCGCTGCACAGCCTCCGCGCTGCTATCGGAGCTCAACTGGCAGACGCCACTCTCGCCACTCTCATTGGAACCGACGAATAACACTACGGCACCAAAGGCCTAAGGTAAGAGTAAACAGATTTCCATGTCGATTTGAGTAAATTTTTTTTAGCAAGTTTTTAATTTATGGAAACACAAGAAAGGGGACGGGAATGTTCTCTATTTACGCAGTCCCCACTGGCTTAGATACGTCTTAAAGTTGCGGGAGTGCGTGGGCGCTTTCATTCTAGCCGGGGATTGGCGTAAATATATCACCACTGTTGTCTCGTTCTCTTTAAGGAAGGAAGTGGCGTACTCACAGGGATCTAAGCTGGCTCATATCCTGAAGGATGCCGTTTTCCACGTGGGTGAGGTTCTTTAGGTCCTCCAGCGTCCTGGAATAAGAAGCAAAGTCATAAATGTGTGAAGCTTAGGAGCTGGGTGTAAGGAAAGGGGGGGGGGCAGAGGGGCGCTCGCGACACAGCATTTAACTAAACATGAAGGGAGAGGAAGTTTGCGGCCGACGATGGATGAGGCCATGCGTTTCCTATCGCTGCTCAGTCCAAGGCAGTCATCAAAGGCGAGCTCCGCACGCACACTCAACGCCCATCCCGACGAGCCTCGGCGAACCACCCACCCGTTCCGGTGAGGCCCACAACTCAGAACACCACTTTGAGAAAGGGCTAGCTTGGACCACAGACCACAGGCGCGCTGAGAGCACGGCAACTAGCTCAATAAGTTAGCAGTCGGGAACTGGAAGGACAGTGACCATCCATCACTTTTAATGGATATATATGTGCTTTGTTTTTGTGAAATTAGCCACATAAATATGAACTCGGCATCTTTTGAAAAGGAAAAGGAACATCTTTTCTTAACAAAAGGGTTTGACATATGCACACTTAAAAGTGCGGTGCCAGAACGTCACTCAGAAAGGAGTGCGTGGCCATTGTGTCAGGCGTTGGAAAGTGTGTCTTTTATTGACATGTGTGTGGCTTATTAGTGTACTGTGTCTTGTCCAGAACAAAAGAGTGCGTGAACTGGACCTCGCACACTCTGTTCCAATACGCTCCACGAATCATGCTCGCTATCGCCGGGATCGCACTGATAAACTAAGTGTTCAACTGCTCAACACTTGTAAGTGTGCAACTGCAAGTTGATTACTTGCAAGTGGCAAACTCCGTAGTCGTACACTTGCAAGTGTTATACTCGGTTGAACACTTCCTTAGATTGGACGCTTACTGTGTAGAAAGTGCTCAACCGAGGAGCTGCACACTTGCAAGTATTCAACTTGCAGTTGCACACTTGCAAGTATTTAACTTGCAGTTGCACACTTAGAAGTGTTGAACAGTTGAACACTTAGTTTATCAGTGCGGATCGGATTTTTTACAGGGGTCCTCTCTCTAAGGGGAAAGCTTAAATGGCATAGTTGAAGCTTAAGTTAGATATGCACATAAATGTTTCATGATGAAAACCTGATTTATTGCCATTTATACAGCAAGCACGCTTTTTGAGAGTGCGAATGGATGTTGGTCACAGTATGCGGATAGACCCATGAATGAATGAGAGCACATGTATGTTTGTGTGTGAGAGGGTCCGCGCACGCGATGTTGCTATATCCCGCTACGATATTCCTCTCGCGGTGCCGCGACGCGACGCGCCTTCAGGTTCTACAATTCTGCAGATTCTGACCGTGCCAGGGGAGGGAGGGGGTTCGTGTCCAACAAGACCGCACCAAGTTATGCGGTGGGGGTGGCTGGCTGACACATATTGCAGGCGAGCGGAGCTCGCAGGGCGGTGTCACAGCGTGAGGAAGCCAGGGGCGCTGAGCCCATTTAGGTGTCGGACGCTCGGTGCAAAGCAAACGCCGGCGTGGCTTTCCAATCCAAACGAGGCAGGGTGGGGGCCCGATGAGTAGCGCAGCAGCATGGCACACTGCACTCTTAAAAAAATTGGCGTGCTTTCCCAAATATTCACTCTCAACCACTACTAGGATTCACCAGAGGACCCCGTTTTCTAGTTATAATGTCGAAAAACACGGAAAAAAAGAATCGCCCTGCCAGCTAATACATTCGCTACTAGGACGGATATAACCAAATAAGTTTCTATAGGATAACTATATGTTTCTATAGGATAACTATATGCGCTATTCCAACCGATTCTTTACTGTAGCAGTCGAATATTGACTCTGGGAGATAATATGCAGTTGGTGGGAACATTGGCTCCCTGAGTCAATATTTGACTACTGCAATCAATAATCGGTTGTGATAGCGCATATAGTCATTCCTGAAACTTATTAGGTTATCTGTCCAAACACCAACGAATGTATTAGCTGGAAGAGTGAATCTTTTTTTCCTTCCTTTTTCGTGAACAGCTGTTGAAGGCAGAGAGTTGTAAGTCGTCCACGTTGATAGCTTCCTGCTAGAAAAGCTTGGCCGAGCGACCGTTTCAGAAAAAAGGATTGGCCGGCGGGAGGCTAATGTGGTTCGAAGCTACGTTTACAGTGTTTACAGTGTTTACAGTGTACAATGTAAGGAGTCCTTGGGGAAATCCCAACAGACTTTGGCAATAATTTCACGACTGTTTTTCCCTGAATTTTTAAATAAGTTTGCAAAATGCTTTTAAAGAACAGGTGGAAACTCCCTCTTATGTATAGCTTTCGAACCATTTTCAAGCATTTGCATACTGCGAGCCATGTTTTGTAAGATATACAGCAAACAGATCGTAACTTCGTAACTGACATTAAGAAATTTATTATGGGATTTCATAACGCTACGGTACAATTAGGAAATTTTGAAAGGATATTCATAACCTTGATTGTAAAATTAAGAAAACTTCTAAGATATCATAAGCTGTTATTACTTTTAAGAACAATAGAAAATGTTATTAAATTTAAAAGCTATTTTTATGAAATTTCAAACATAATAATCTATTACAGGTTTGTATCATCTTTATATAGGCTTGCGAAGAGGACTCGCAGACTCTTAGAAGTGTATGAAAAGGACGAGGACGACAACAAGAAGGCCGGGGGGATGGAGGGGAGAAAAGCAAAGGGAGGGGAGGAAAGGAAAGGGAGGGGAGGGGGTGCACAAAAGGCAAAATACGCCCTCGGAAATACTCACAACTCCTGTAGGTCGCGGCGACAGCAGTTGAGATCTGATGATTTTAGAATCTGCATCCCTGCCGACTGGACTAACCTAGGCACACACAAACCGACAACTGTTATGAGAAGTGCAAAGCAAATGAGCATCGTGTGGTACAGTAGAAGCAAAATGGAGGAAGGGGTCTGTGGACCAACCTGTATAAGAAGTATCAAAGACTTTGAGTGTTTACATGTAGACTGGATCGGACGAGACCCACATGAACAACAAGAAACGGTAAAGTATTTATTAGATGTACAATATTACTGTTTGTCTTTTCGGAAAGGCTGGTTTAACGGCACCGTGCTTTTAACATTATTGAGTCGTCCCCGCAGCCCTATCAGAGACGTATCGGACGACCCCAGGAGTCAACTAGTCAGACGCGGCTGTTTACTCTCGAGAGGGCCGGACCTTTCCTTCGCATCGAATCTCACGTTGTTTTCTCGACTGGGTCTCGACCCCCAGGCGAGTAAAAGAGAATGCACGAACGCAAAATATTTACGAACCGTTTTTTTAAAAGCTACCTGTAGCTGCCGTCGCCTCGCATGTCAATACATACATACACCCAGAAGACCGTTTAGTCCAGAGGACCAATTTGAAAACCAACGAAATTTTAGCTCTGGAGACCAAAATTTATCCGTGGCGATGAAATAATTTGGTCTAGCTGACTTAATTTGATTGCTGCGACTATATTTAGTTAAAAATGGGGTCACTAAAGTTTAGTCGGTTTTAGGAACTAAATTTTGTTTCTTACAACCCTGATTTAATTGTATCAACTAAATGGTTCTCGGTGTATGGGGCACGAAAAACACGAAAAAAATTGCTAAAACAGCCACCCCATTCACTAATTTGGCTTTAGATTACAATGTTACCTCGCTCAGCTATAATTCCAAGCTCAGGCAGCTAACATATAAGCATAAGCTCTCTTCACAGACAGCTCCTTTTTTTCTAGACAACAGTAAACATATAACGTATTTTCCAGTGTGCATGTGTGAAGGCCTCCGAGCAATCCCTAAGGCCCTCGCACATTGCCGATAGGACCGCCACCGCCTGTGTCCCCATTGAATCTGATTGAACAAACATCGCCCAGCGGAGCGCCAAGCCGTTGCCGCACCACCCGGCGACTTCTCGCTAACTCACTTTCTTTGGCTTTGTGTACGTGTGTGAATTCTCTCCTGGTAAACAATAAACAGCAATCTTTTTCATTCTGTTCCCGCGTCCCGCCGCGCCGCCGCCGCACCACACTACTACAAGACCAAGCGGCGCGCCACCACCCCACGGGCACGTGTTAAGGAACCAACAACATGTAACGAGGCCCGCGCCCCGGGCAGCGCCAGCCTTCAAATGCTCCGCATTTGTTGTTTTCGATATCGCAGATGTATCAGATTATAGCGAGGAGGCAAAGGTGCGGAGCCATGAATGGGGCGCGGCTGGGCCACGGCGCGCGCGCTGCGTGGGGGTCTAAAGATCAAAGAGCCCATCTCCCCGCCATGCCCCTCACCGCCTCACCCCACCCCGCCCGCGATCCCCACCCCACAAATTCGGCACGCTTCTTTTCTCAAGCCCCTTTGGAATCATTTCACTATCAAAATCGACTAGGATAAAAAGGAGAATTAAGGTAAGAAGGCACAGCCAGAAAATCGTTTCCTTGAAAATCACAAGGAAATTTTGCTCTTGTTCCAAAGAAATTGCTTTGGTTTAACGAGAAAAATGCCATGAGTTAATTTTTCTTCAAATGAAGGCAAATTTTTACTTAAAGAAAGGGAAAAAATAATTGCGCAAAATAAATACACTTTAATGTGTATCACATCTCGTACACTCATTGCGACTGGCCTCCTGATCACGGACAACGACCAACGACCGTCTCGACATCACCGGTGCGACCAACACGAGACGAGGAATAAATAAACGGGCTAGTAGTAGTCCGTGAGCGTGAGCGGCCCCGCAGCCCCCCACTTAAAACTTTTGAGTCATACGAACAGAATTCTCACTCTGGAGGAGTAAGATTTCCCCGACCTCGCCCAATTGCTGTAAGGAACCTTACTCTCATTGGGTGAGGACCGCAAATTATGACTCAAATTGAGTGAGAGTCAGATATCTCGCTCTAAGGAGAGAAAGATTTTTTTGTGTCACTGATCTCACTCTCCTGAGAGTAAGATATCTGACTCTTGCATTTTCAGTGGCATGCCACCTCGGCCCCCGCCCCCAAAGCTCACCGCGTCGTGCGCGCTCCAGGCTGCTACGCTGATCCGGGCACCACTCTGCGTCGCACTGTGCACATTGGACCCCCTCCCCCCACTCCTCCATCCAGCCATTGCTACTAAAAGCCGTTTTCAGTTGCCGATCATTGGAATAACGAGAGACGACGGGCGAGCCGGCCGCTGTCTGCCGATAGCCCCGGGCGGCCCGGGGTGACCGATAGGGGCGGCTGGCTGGTCGTACCCTGCCACTGTAGCCGCGACCGGGACGGACGATCACTACAGGCGGGACTTAAAGACCCCCAGCCCCTCTCTCTTGGGCCCACCGCCGGGGCAAGCTGTTTGCGTAGAGAATATCTTCTCTTTAAAACAAGGTCAAGGGCCCTTGAATCGAGGCCTCTTTTTTCACTGTTAAATTCCTACAAAGCAATTTGCAAATTGGGAAGGATTTTGATCCTTTTGAAATGGAGACCAGTGCTACTTGAGCACGGGGGCTACACTGTTCAAAATATTTTGTGATTTCCCAACAATTTCACAATATGAAGCAGATGTGAAATAACGAAATCACAACACTT